GTTTGGAAAACCACTATCAAAAAGGGGAAGTCCAGCCCTGGCTGGTTTGGCTCAGTGGATAGAGTATCAGTCTGTGGACTGAAGGGTCCCGGGTTCGATTCTGGTCAAGGGCACATGCCCAGGTTGTGGGCTCAATCCCCAGTAGGGGGTGTGCAGGAGGCAGCCAATCATTGATGTTTCTATCTCTTCCTCTCTCTTCCTCTCTAGAGTCAATTAAAATATATATTTTTTAAAAGCCGGGGGGGGGGCGGGGGGGCAAGTCAGTGGATATTTAGTGGGAGGGGATGAGATAAAGTGTACTTATAAAAGATGAGAATGTACAACAGCAAAAAGCCAAGCCCTGAAACCAAAACACAGGCAACCACTGTTTCAATTCCAGCTCCAGGAGGCCTGAGGGCAAAACAGGAACCACCAGCAACCTGGACCACTTACTCCATCTGTCTCTTTTGTGGATACCATTCATTTCTTCCCCCAAGAATTTTTGCCTCCTTCATAAAACATCTGACAGGAACAAATGCCCTCAATTCCCCTCCATCTGTTACTGAGGACACACACACTTTATTCATTCATTCGTTGGTTTAATGTTTATCTTCTTCCTACCCTAAAAATCTTCCTCTGATCATATTTTCTCTTCAACCTATTGCCCTATCTCCTGCTTTTCCTACACTCCCTTCACATAACCTATTTTAATGTTAAACAACTTAAATTTCTGTACAGTCCCAACAGTTGAGCTAAATTGAGTAACAAGTAGAGGAGGAAGACCTGATGGAGAGGTAAACTGAACAGGCTTCTTGACATTAGTTGTGACCTCTGATCTATATGCATGTTTTCCATTCCTAAAGCCATGTTCATTCAACTCATTAAAATCTCAACTAAATTTAAAATAAAAATGGCTGCCCTAGCCAGTCTGGCTCAGTGGATAGAGTGTCAGCCTGCAGACCAAAGGGTTCCAGGTTTGATTCCCATCAAGGGCCCGGGCCTGGTCAGGGCTCATGTAGGAGGCAACCAACCTCTGTCTTCCACTCTCTTCCACTCTCCCTAAAAATCAATGGAAAAAATATCCTCAGGTGAGGATTAAAATAAAAATGGCTTTCCCTGAGGTCACCGGTGATTTCTTAATTTCCAGCTCTTAATGTATTTACTCTGCAACATGGATATTTTAGACCATGTTTCTTGTCCTCAAAACTTCTTCCTTGGCCTCTCAGACACCAGTGTCTCCTGGTTCTCCTCCAATTATGTTTCCCTGTTCTTCCCTGAACACCATTTAAATGACGGGTGTCCATGTCCTCTCATCACTCTCCCTGCGTTCCCACAGTGACTTCAGGCAGCACTGTTAATCTGATAACTTTGAAATCTTTACAACTCAGGTTTCTTGCTGGAGTCCAACCCTATCTCCAATCGACCTTTGGAGATTTACACACACACGGGTGGGCAAAAGTAGGTGTACAGTTGTGAGTACCTGAAACAGTTTGTACTTCTATTATGTATTAATGATTGTATTATTTATTTGTGTATACTTTTTCCCACTCCTGTGTATATCCAAATGTTCCCAACATAACATATATGCTCCTTTAATGTCTACCCCCACCGCCTACTTTCTCAATTATCAGAGTTAGAGACAACCATAAGTTCAGCCTCCCAACCCTGAAACTTTGGTTTTATATGCAAGTTCCTCTCTTACCTTGCAGGTTCAGTAGGACAATAAATTCTCTACCTCAGAAATGTCTCTTGATTTGTATGTCTCCTCTTGCCTTGTTTACAATCCAAATCCAAAGTCTGGAGGCCTTTGTAATCTCCAGTCCCTCCAATCCAGTTACAGCCATCCTTTACTTAAAAACGTATTGGCCTCTAGTTACCAGATAATATTTAAACTCGGCCTGGACTACAAAATATTTTGTAATTCAGCTCTTACCTACTTTCCAGTCTCATGAAAAATCCAGGCACTTCTTTAATATTCCTCATCAAGCTGATTTCTCACCCTTCCTGGGAGACCACAGGTTTGCTAGTTCCTCAACCTGGAATACTGTCATCATCCATACCCCACCCCTCACCCCTATCCTTTTACAATTCCTTCAAGTTCTAGCTCAAATTTTAACTCCCCAGGAAAACCCTCTGAGCCTTTAGCATATTATTCAGTTGCTATGTCCTCTGTGTTCTCCAAATACTTTCTTTATTCATGCCAGGTACCACTCTTCAAGTAGTAGCATAATTTTCTGCCATGTCTATTTCCTCCACTGTAAACTCTAAAGTATTTCATCTAGAATCCCCAGTGTCTAGCACTATGTCCAGCAATAAGTCATATCCACGAAGTAAATGTTGAATGAGTGATTGAAAGGTAAGTGACCCTGGCCAGTTTGGCTCAGTGGATAAAGCGTCAGCCTGTGGACTGAAGGGTCCCGGGCTCGATTCTGGTCAAGGGCACATACCCAGGTTTCGGGCTCAATCCCTGGTGGGGGGCGTGTAGGAGGCAGCTGATCAATGATCCTCTCTCATCATCGATGTTTCTATCTCTTTTCCCTCTCCCTTCCTCTCTGAAATCGATTACATATATATATATATATATTTTTTTTTTTTTAAAGAAAGGTAAGTGAATGCTGATAATATCACCAGAGAAGTAGCAGAATTATTTGTCTTCTTCTAAACTACTAGTTCTCAAGCATTTTGGTTTTGTGTCCCCTTTACAATTATTTATTTATTTTAAAGAACAGCTTATTGATTTTTATTTTATTTATTTATTTTTTCTTTATTTTAGTTGTAATACCAGTTTGTTCCTGGGAGCATGTCCGTGCCGCATCCATTTACTCTGCTGCCATTTTTAAAATATATATTTTTTTTATTGATTTCAGAGATCAAGGGAGAGGGGGAGAGAGAGAGAAACATCAATGATGAGAATCATCGATCAGCAGCCTCCTGCACGCCCCCTCCTGGGGATCGAGCCCACAACCCAGGCACGTGCCCTTGACCGGAATCGAACCCAGGACCCTTCAGTCCCCAGGCCAACGCTCGCCAAACCAGCCAGGGCTCTGTTGCCATTTTTTAAAAAAAATATATTTTTATTGATTTCAGAGAGGAAGGGAGAGGGAGAGAGAGATAAGTAGAAACATCAATGATGAGAGTCATTGATCAGCTGCCTCCTCCCCCCCCCCCCCCCCCCCCCCCGCCACACTGGGGATCAAGCCCGGAACCCAGGTATGTGCCCTTGACTAGAACCAAACCCGGGACCCTTCAATCCGCAGGCTGATGCTCTATCCACTGAGCCAAACCATTTAGGGCTCTGCTGCCATTTTTAATCTCAAGAACAGTTTATTGATTTTTAGAGAGAGGAAGGGAGAGGGAGAGAAACATCCATCAGCTGCCCCTTGCACGCCCCCTACTGGGGGTTGAGCCTACAACCCAGGCACGTGCTCTGATCAGGAATCAAACCTGCAAAGGTGGCAACCTTTTGTTGCACAAGACACCCAACCAACTGAATAGCACTAGCTAGGGCTCCTTTACAATTTTAAAAATTATTCAGAACCCCAAAGAATTTTTGTACCTGTAAGTGGTATCTATTTTACTGTACTAAAATTTAAAAAGAGAAATTTAAAAACATATTTACAATACCTTTCAAAATAACCCATTACACACTAACATTAATAATATATTTTTATGAAAAATATCTATTTTCCAAAAATAGTGAAAATAGTAGCAATGTTTTACATTTTTTGAAAATCTTTTAATATTTGGTTTAATAGAAAATAGCTCAATTCTCATATTCGCTTCTCACATTAAGTCTGTTACTACATGCTGTTTTAGTTTAAGAAAATGAAGAAACTGCCCTGACCGGTTTGGCTCAGTGGATAGAGCGTCAGCCTAGGGACTAAAGGGTCCCAGGTTCGATTCCGGTCAAGGGCATATCCCCAGTGGGGGGTGTGCAGGAGGCAGCTGATCGATGTTTCTCTCTCATCGATGTTTCCAACTCTCTATCCCTCTCCCTTCCTCTCTGAAATCAATAAAAATATATTTAAAAAATAAAATAAAATACTGTGTATCTTTGATGATGAAAAACACTACTACCAGTACAGTTTGATGACAAGGCCTTGAAACATACTGAGGCACCAGCCAAGTTTACCCACTATTTCATTTTACATCAGTGCAGAGTCAACACGGTGAAAAAGGCAAAGAAAGTATTATTATGAAATAGTTTTGACCTCAAGGACCCCCAAAAGAATCTCAGAGACCCCAGGGTCTACCAACCACACTTTGAGAACCACTGCTCTGGTCCTGTTTTGCATCTTAAAATTTGGGTAATAATTCCAATGTCTTAGAATTGCTGTGACAGTAAAGGATGTATGTAAACCACCCAGCACAAACATCTTCTAGAAGGAACACCATAAATATTTCTACTCGTTAGAGTCCAGCTGTGATAGCTCTATGTCGATTTAACATTTATTCACCTAACACCATATTCGAAATTCTATCACATTTGTAACATTTTACTGCAATATGTATCTTCGGAATTCTTTACTTGCCTAATTCTTTACATTAGGGATGTATGTGTTAAAATGTACTTAACATAAAAGTTAACCATTTTAACCATTTGTAAGTGTACAGTTCAACAGTATATGCCCGTAGTTGTGCATAAGAGGCTCTGAAGTTTAACCAGTTCGCGTAGGAGCACTCGTCTTCTTTACCTACGCATTTGTCAAACGTCTATTTCAGTGTACAGGGCAGATTCAACCACTTTTTAGACTTCTCGCGTTTTTCTAGATGTCTTTTTCTATTTTGCATAGTTATGACACCAAAGTTATTTCTCACGAGTTTAACAGCACATTCCCCAGACGGCGTGAACCGAGGGTAGACCGATAACTTTGCTATTGGAAACGTACCCGCCTACACACGTAACTTCTGTAATTTACATTCCCCAGCAAAGTCGCGCGTGAAGGCTCTCGTATCGCGAGAATCCTCTGGGGGTGGGGCTTAATCTAGTGAATTTCCGATACTGCGCATGGCGGGGCGCAGGCGCAGTAGACATATCCGCTCGCTTCAAAAGGTATAAATACGGACGCCTTGTGCTCGCAAGGCCTTTTAGTGGGAGATCTTCGCTCAGCTTTCCTGGTGTTTGGTAAGTGTCTGTATCCGCCTGGTTTGTCAGCTTCAGCTCTAGTGCCCGATCCCGCCAGCCGGCCTTTCCTGTAGAAACGGTGCTATTTAGAAGGGCTGGTTTCGGCGGCGTCCGTGCCAACTACCCTTACTCCGCGCGGAGGGGCTGGGG